ATCGTCATCGTCGTCATCATCGTCAACGTCATCGTCGTCATCATCATCATCATCATCTCCTTCTTCTTGTTCATCTTCATCACCATCATAATCCTCATCCTCATCCTCGTTGTCATCGCCAGCATCAGCATCACCACGAGAATGGCGGTCGTCAGCATTTCTCTGTATCATTCCACTTCACGTGATTGCAGAATACGCTGCTGTGGGGGGCACAGGCGGGCGCAGTGAGGAAGGGGGCTGTGAGTCGTCTGGTGTTCCTTCTCATGCTTCTTCGACTCATTGAACTTGTGATGACAACTGCACATCCATCCGTGATCATGGAGATAGCAAGGCGTATCAACATGATGACGATCATGATTTCGAGTGAGAAAACGTGTTTCAAGGCAACCCAATACGTCATGAAGGTCGTAGTCATGGTGCTGGAGAAGCAGCGGTAGCGGTGCTGGGTACTACCAAGACTGTAAGTAGTCGTCACACCGAAGAGTAAACCAGACTCACGAGGCCAGCATCTTTTTCGACTCCGCACCGACCCGGGCGAAAAGGTCTGCTGAGAGCAGAGAAAAGCTCAAGGGTCTGCTGCCACGCACCCGCAAGATGTGGAGTGACTCGGGGCCAAAGCTCCGAGGGTTGGCTTCGGGGTGCAGGGTCTATATGGGATATGTGACTTTATTCTAGGTAGGCCCAGTATACTATATATTTCCTACATGATATGGTTTGGGGATCCTAAGGGCGGGCAGGGAACGGGAGCATCGTAAAGCCCAGCGTTGATGACCATGAGCCTCTCCACCTGTCTCGCGAAAGGTAAGGTTTACCCCTGCCAGTTGCACAACTAGGCAGGCGACAAGAAATCGGTGTCAGGCGGAATTTCGCAGGGAATTCCCTGCACGCTTTCCTCAATAACGGTATTGGGACACTCAGCTTGCCCTTCCGCTCCACTGCGCGTTTTGGTGGGCCTAGCTCCCAAAAGCTCTGCCACTTGCTCAAATCGCTGCAACCACAGAAAGTCAGTCATTGGGGTTGAGGTTTCAGGGACTTTGAGTGGGGACTACCAGGTAAAAGCCTGTGGGTCGAGCACTAGAGTACTATGTCACTAGAAAACTTTATTTGGATTGTCCTTGATTTCAACTTGTAACCTTACATGCAACAGGTTTGCAACGTGGGAGCTTGGACTAGGGGGACCCTTGGGGATATAGACCCTCTCAATAAGGTCTCTTTTAAGAGAGCCAACAGTAGGGTTCAGAAGGGGTACCCTTTAAGGGGTACCCCTAATAATACTACCTACAACGTCCCCCGATCCTTCAAGCAAACCCGTGTTGTTGGCCAAAGCTAAGCCGAAAAAAACAAAGCTGCACCGCCCACACCCTCTGTCGTCAATAAGGTCCTAAGCCCCAAACCGCCCTCAAACGAGGCCCTACCCATAGGCACCATAGTAGTTCCTTTTTGGGGCTCATATTTAGAATCCTATGAAGTAATCCCAAAAAGGAACTACTATGGGGCCTATGGGTAATGGGTATGAATTCGCTCGAGCCTAAAAACAAAAACCACACGCTTTGGAGTTGCGGAGGGGAAGCGCGAGCACTCCATTGCAAGAGGCAGCCACCCCGGTAAGTCCCGGGGACATCAGTACTCGCTTCTAGGGTTTGTGTTTAAGGACAATTTTGGTTAAATTAGGGCTTAGATAAGGTTCCTTTAAGCGCTCCTTATAAGGATACCAGTACTGTCATCGTTTGGGATGTAGGCAGGGGCTCCAGGCCGCGAGCCGAATTTAACTTTACTGCCGCTCCTCCTGTTCCTTATACTGAGTACTACCTCAAGAACCCAAAACCCACTTTTTTGTAGGTCCTTATTATAAACCCTAATATGGGATTTATAGGGACCCTACAAAAAAGTAGGTTTTGGGTTCTTAAGGTAGTACTACGACGACGACAGCTTCTTGCTTCTACTCCTACTACTGCTGCTAGCACCACTATCCAAAGCAGACTTTATTGATTGACTCTTGTGTGTGTGTGTGGCAAATGCGAAAGTATGCACGACAGCAGCAGCACCAACAGAAACGGAAACAGTCATGCCAGCAACTACTTGGAGATGCTGATGATGATGGGATGTACAGGGCGACAAAAGAGAAGTGGAACTGTCAGGCCGCCCCTTGAACCGTGCACCCCAGCGTCACGGCCTCTCGCTGAGAAACCGGCATCGGATTCTCCGAAGCCAACTTCTTCCAACGAGGATGGGAGGTCGCAGTCTGCCATGGACAAACCTGCTTGTGCGCGGGCTCGGAGTTTTGGGGGCAAGCCGTCGTTCGAGGGATCTGTCGGGATCTCAGCTCGAGTGCCCAGAAAAGGGAGGGCCTTGTTTTGTCGGTTCAAACATGCGGTAGCATCAGCCAGAACTGTGAAGTTTGCGATGCAGGCGATGCAACGGCTCGACAACAAGCATCACTAGCAAGCTGAATAGCCACCTGGCCCAAACCCTGCAAACAAGCTTGCACCCTCCTCGGAGCAAACCCTGCGCTTTTTGAAGCTGTCTAGACAGTGCATCCGGCATGTGACCTTCGTCATCGGCTCAGTAGGCAAGCCCGCATAGAAAGGCTTACTTGGAGGATCATGGGACTTTGTAAGTAAGGTTATAAGTCCCCTAATTGGGGTTATAAGTATAGTTACCTTATTTATAACCCTACTTACTAAGTCCCATGATCCTTTGAGTACTAAACCCTAAACCCTAAACCCTAAACCCTAAACCCTACTTACTAAGTCCCATGATCCTTTAAGTAGAAGGCTTCGCCCCATGCCACGGCAAAGCTCCATCCCACCCTCGTAGCCTTCGTGATGTCGCAGACACGGTACGTGGACGCGGGCCGCCTTAGCATGGTGGCGAGGCCAGGAGTAGCCGAACGACATTTGGGAGTTTCCGAAGACTAGGGTACCCTATTTTGGGGTCCTTATAATAAGGAGCCTACTATTTAGGGTACTATATTAGGGTCCCCTATTCTCGGAAACCCCCATTTGAGTCGTTGGAGCTTCCGATCAGGGCACCCTCGCCATCACATTGACACTGATTGAAGCTTCAGCTGTAAACACGAACCCTACTTCGTAAACCCTACTAACCCCGAAACCTCAGCCGCGAACCCAATTGTCTAGAATGAACGAATGAAGGTAGCTCTAAGGATCGTGACATTGATAGAATAACGAAAAACCGATTGTGAGAAATTGCCCATCCTGCACGAACGGGAAGCAAGAACCCCACACGTCGAAGCTCAAGACAGCAATCAACACAATACTGCCAGATCGGAAAGAAGGCCCCCGGAAGGACTTTAGTTGCGCCAGTATTCAGATAACAAACTTGGGCACAGAACAGTGCCATGCAAATGACACGTAGGCAGGGGCCCCCAGCTAGAATCTAGAATCTGGAACCATGCCCCAACCCGATCCCGAACGGTGCCTGCGAGACCGGGCTGTGATGGTTGGAAGACCTCCAATTTTTGCGTCTGAGTCCCGTGATGATTAGCCTTGTTTGACAGCTTGACACGTTAAGTTCAGCAGCAATCGTCACCTTAGCACCTTTATTTCGCCCTCAAGCCCTAAACTGTCGCAATCAGCTGCTGCGTGATTGGTGTGACTCCGTCGAGCCTGATCGTTGCGTAATGCCGTCGAGAGAGCGTCGGCAGTCCTTGGCAGCAGAGTTATATTACATTATACTATATTATTATATTATTTATTATTATCTGTTGGTATTATTATTTGTTATTGTTATTATTGTCAGTACTGTCTATTATTATCATTATTATCATTATTATTATTATTCTTATTATTATTTATTATTATTATTATTCTTATGTATTCTTATGATGACTATATATGATACTAGTCCGAGGAACCCAGGCCAGAAGTCCCAACACCGTTTGCCTTCTGCTGAGGATACCAACACAACAGATGAACTCGCCACCTGAAGCTCAAGACCCCAACCTCTAGGGGGCTTAGGGTTTAGGGCTTAGAGGAAGACCCCAACCTCTAAGGGGTTTAGGGCTTAGGGTTTAGGGCTTGGAGGTTTAGGGTTTAGGGTTCAGGGTTTAGGGTTTAGAGGTTCTTGGTTTTAGGGTTTAGAGGTTCCCCAACAAAAAATCGACCAACCCTAAATGCCCAGCTCTTTTTCCTAAGCCCGGAACAGGGTTCCGAATTTAAGGTCCCGGGCTTGAGGGGTGTAGGGCATTTTTGCGGTTTTCGTTGCTCAAGTAGTCGAACACTGAACATAATATTTCAAGCTTCGGGCCTGTTAGTCAATCTCGACCAAACGTAAACGCAGGGATTAGAGTCTGTAATGCTCAGGGCGTTCATGGGTTGAGGGCTTTGAGCCACTAGAAAGCTTGCAAGACTTTGCAACTTCACGTGCTCATGTCTGAAACTGCAGCAGTATCCTGACCTCTGACCTTACTTGGAGGATCATGGGGCTTAGCAAGTAAGGTTATAAGTCCCCTAATTGGGGTTACAAGTATAGTTACCTTAGTTATAATCCTACTTACTAAGTCCCATGATCAAAAACCCTAAACCCTAAACCCTACTTACTAAGTCCCATGATCCTTTAAGTATGAAAGATCTCACAGAACCATGAGCATCTCCAAGACCCGTTCCATCCTCATCGGTGCCGGCCCTCATCCCATGAACCCCAAGCCCGAAGCTCCAAGCTCCCTAAAACCATAACCCATGACAGGACCCATGAACGCGAAACCCTACCAGTTCCTTTAAAGTTTAGGGTTTAGGGTTCAGGGTTTAGGGTTGAGGGTCCCAAAGGCCCTAAAACCCTGAATCCTAGACTCCTAAACAGCCGAGCCGCTGCGAGAGATCCCCATGAGTCACCCGGAAAATCCTCGGCAGGCCCGGCAGTCCGGGGGCTCAAAGCGCTCCGAGGAAGGAAGATATCCTAAAACCGCATAAAGCCGATAACATCCCATAGCACCAAAAAAACGGTTTAGGCTTTAGGGTTTAGGGGCGTAGGGTGACCCAGAAACCCGGCAAACGCCGACAAGACAAACAACTTCACAACCCTGAAGCCTGACACCTTCAGGGGGCAGCCTCAGTCCGAACGTCCGACTGTTTGGCATCCGGCAGACCCCAATGGGCCAATTGAATCAGGATACTAGTGCTGGTACTAATCCGAACTTCGCTCAAGGCCCCGACAAATCTACACACAACTCCCTCCCTGAATGTGCCGAACAAGACGTCTACCTCAGGGGTCTCATTCGGGAACACCGATGCCGCGCTTCCGGGTCTTTAAGCTTTAGAACTCTGGAGAGTATGTCGAGCTTGAAGATCAGGGTTTCGAGCTGGAGCTTTGTGACGGCACCGGTTGTTCGACGGGTGTCTTGATTTCGGGTTCACAACCACGAAAGAGGATGGAAGGGTCTATACTACCCATAGGCCCCATAGTAGTTCCTTTTTGGGGCTCATATTTAGGATCCTATAAGGTAATCCCCAAAAAGGAACTACTATGGGGCCTATGGGTAAGTATCCAGCGGGCTAGGGCAAAGGCTTACGGCTCCATGGTTCAACCCTGAAGGCCCCCTCCATCGGCAAAGTCACCTCTTCGCCACGTCATAAAGCAGGAACTGCCTCGACACGCTTCAGTTTAGGGTTTAGGGTTTAGGGTTTAGGGTTAGGGGAGCTCCAGAGATTCACAAAAGAAGGACCCGGAAGTAACATGTGCCCTGGCAAGAAGAACCCCCCCCAGTCGAGGCTGCTAGCGACCATGGGGTGACCTGTGAGAGCGGACCTGAAGCGTTTCAGGGAACTGCGATGTATGGGCTAGAGTCTAGAGCATGTGGGGTTTTGGCTTCCAAAAGTGTCGGAAGTGAGCGGGCTGGCTAGCACTGAATAGGAGAGTCTCCCGCTGGGATATCTCCGACTTTGACGATGATGTTAAGTATTGGTAATGCTGTTGCCGCAGCCCATCACTTGAACGATGAAGCGACAATTGCAACTGCTCGTATTCAAAAAAACAGTAGTGCCCGGCAGTGCCTGTGTTAGTGGTAGCAGAAGCACACACATGAAACACAGACCTGCAGCTAAACCCAACAAGAGACTGGCGGGTGGACGACTAAACCTTTCATGTCATGGCGCCTATAAGCCCTAAATGCTAAGACCCCACACCCTAAACCCCAAAAGCACGAACCCTAAACCCTAAACCCTAAAAGCCCTAAAGCCCTAAACCCCAAACCCCAAACCCTAAACCCCGTAAGCCCTAAAACCCTAAAGCCCTAGAGCCCTAAACCCCAAAACCCCAAGCCCTCACTCGCCCACCCCCCGGCCCTCCGATGATGGCGGCGGCCCACGCCGCCCTCGTGGAGAAACCTCGGCTCTCGAAGCGGTTGGAGCCTTCCTCACTTAGCGGTCTCGGCTTAGGGTTTAGGGTTTAGGGGTCTCCAGGCTTAGTGGAGGTGTTCTTGGGGCGTAAATAAAGGGGCCTAAAGAGTTACCTTGGGGCGTAAATAAAGGGGCCGAAAGAGTTACCAGTGCTAGTTTGGGGGCTCCTCCTCACAGTTATAGTGTAGTATGCCCCAAAATCCTATTCGAACCATTAAGGCCCATATGAGGCTGGAGTTTAGACCTCGGTCTTGGAGCTCTGGACTCGGATTGGGGCTGGAAATTCAGGTCGTAGCCTCCCAGAATTTCGAAAAAGGCTCAGCCGAAGCAAGTCGAAGGGCCCGATGCTTTAGGGTTTAGGGTTTAGGGTCCCCTGAAGCATTAAATCCTAACCCCCTAACTACCCATAAACCCCTTAGTAGTTCCTTTTTGGGGCTCATCTTTAGAACCCTATTAAGGTAATCCCAAAAAGGAACTACTATGGGGCCTATGCGTACCCCCCAAACCCCCAAACCTCAAGTTCAGAGCTTGGTGGTGGGCTTTTGAGAGATCAGGGCCTTACCTGTAGTTTCCATTGTAGTGATTTTTGGGGGGATACCTTCTAAAATCCTTAATATATAATTGGTTAAACCAAAAAAAGGAACTACAATGGAGACTATAGGTAGTGCATAACCTGAGATGCAGCTCGATGGCCAGCTCTAGAGGTCTTAACTGTTTCGGGTATCTTCTACTTCTGCTGTATAGGGACCGTATGGGAATGTAGCTACCTCTCGGATCTAAGGGATTTGAACAGGTTCTGCGTCTGTAGGCTTTAAGTTTTAACCTTCGCAGGGGTTCCCATGTTCAAGGGTGCCCAGAAGCCCGCGTAGAAGGCACCAAACTGTCCTGCAAGAGCGTGCTTCTGTTTGGCTCTCGAGGTCTTGGGTACTTGGGACCGAGTAGGGCTTGCTGCTGGAGTAGCAAGCATGACGGACAGGCCGATCTTAAGATAAGATAAGTGAAACATCGGACACACGAAGCCATGGCGATTTAACTGCCCTACCCTAACGGTAGAAGGCAATAATGTTTTGAGGGGTCCGTCGACCTCACCATCTTCGCGAGACGTCGCAAGCCAAATCGACACACAACAAGCTGGAAATGCATCACGCAAAGGTTTAGACATGGAAGGGCCCGCAAAATTACGGACAGTCTAAACAGACCAACGCATTACTGTTAGATCCCATATGCCATATGACTACCGATCGTGAAGATTCAGTATAGCATATGTTTCCGATATGCTGTAAAGAAAGCGTGGAAAACACAAACTCTATAATCCCAGCACCCAACCGTAAAACCTTCAAACCAAAGCCAAAAGCCCAAAGCTCACAGCTTTATCCTTTAAGCCGAAACCTAAACACCATGCCTAAACCCTAGCCATCTTCAGGGCAGCCTAGATTGACGTCGCCTCCCGTATGGGCAAACCTCCAAATTGAATCATAACCGAAGCAAAGTCGTAGGCCCAGGGATGAGGGCTTAGGAACCTGTCCGACACACTTAAGTTCCACCCCACAATGACTCCCGACTCCTGCATACCATCTACGGTTCATTTGCCCATTTTACTGCCGGACACGGTCACTAGTCTTGTCGCGCCAGGCTCTCAAAGTGTCAAGGGTCACGGGACATCCTGAAAATCAAAATGTTCTTCAAGGCGCCTCTGTACTTCAGTAGGAGTTTTCTACGGCAGGGACCCCTCAAAACGACACAGCGCTCATCAGAATCGACCCAGCAGTCCGTCTCTCCACAAGGCTGATGCTGCTCCTGCTATGCCTCTCAGGCATCGGTTTTGGGCTTGCCGCTTAGGGCCTGATGATTCAGAGTTTTTCTCAGAGCTTGGTTCATGGTCCGGAAACCATTGAAGTATCTGCAGACGCTGCGGGCGTTGTATACCTGATCGAAGATTTGCTGTGAATCAGGGAAGAACTGGTTGCAAGGCTCCAACAGAATCTCGTTTGCTCGAGCCCTAAACCCTAAACCCAAAACCCAAAACCCTAAACCGTCACTGAATTTCATATCCTCGCATCAGCCACAGAACCGGCTCCGACAGCCTCCACACCCGGCACTAGACGACTCGGCCCACCACGAGGTCGGACTCTGAACTTGGTAACTGCTCGACAACTAGATGGAACCCTCAAACCCTAAGGGTCCACAGCATAACTGTCGTGACTATATATTTGTACTCTAAGCATACCATCCATCCATCTATCTATCTGTCGATCTATCTTACCTGTCCTACCCATCCTACCTACCTACCTACCTACC